GTTTCTGGGATTTCCTTACCTGGATGATTGAGCGCGTTTTAAGAAATATCAGGAATAACAGAACTTTTGTTTGAACAGGTATGGCAACACAGAGAGAGGACGGTAAGGATACGGTGTGCCAGGGGTCGTCCGATGTACACAGACTCGGCAATTGTCTCTTGGAGCCCCAGAGGTGTTGGTTGGCTGTTGAGTGTTTCCTTTAAGCTGCTCCTTTGCTTTTTGTGACTCGGTGCTCCCCAGAGCCGGGTCTGCAGCGAGGGAGCTGCCACATCACCAACACGGGACAGATCACGCACAAAAAGCAGAGTTAGAGCTGCAGTTTCATTCAGCCTCCTGACACTCGCTCTACAACATTTGTGGATTTTCCTGTCTAACAGCGATGTAAAAAAATAAATGAACAATGTCTATTACTTTAATCTACAGAATGAAGTTCATTAAAGGTTTTAACATGAAGACATTTGGTCACTTTTTTGTTTCAGTTACAAATTCAAATCAACATTTTTGAAAATAAGCAGCAAACAAAAGAAGAAAAAACTGTTTTTGTTTCTTTTTTTCTTTTTAGAGTTTACCACAAAAAAGTTCAGGAATACTTCATATAGCATTGTATAAGTGTTTACTCCTAAAACAGGTGACTATCTATGAACAGGTAATGCAATCAGTCAGGTTTGCAAACCCCTTAAATTAGAGCTGAAAGTCAGCAATTCAATCAGATCTTAAGGACATATTCTCGAGGAGATTTGTGGGGCTGAATACAATAACCCAAGTTCTGTCTGAATTTATAAGAATTTAAAGTCTGCCTACACAACTTCACCACCCCACACATCACATTAATATATAGCAGAAAACTGGCCAGACAACAGAAGAAGCTGAATCACAGTCGTTTATATGCACAGTGAAGATGTTGAAGGAAAATAAACATCAACATCTGGGACAGATAGAGGGGAACGATATGGAATGGATAAAGCATAGTGCAATTTAAGACCCCTGCTCTTAAATCAAGTGAGGAGGTGATATGAGCTAACAAAGAAGCTTAAGGACAACCTTATTTCTCAGAAGCCGGCCTTTGTTCAGACAGAAACGGAATATTTTCAAATACCACAGAATTTGGTTTTAGGCTTAATTGTCAGGCAGCTTGAATCTTAAGAGGTTAAAATGTTTTAAAGAGTTTAAACCAAACTTACCACTGCCGAGCGGCCTAATGACTCGTCCTGACCTCTGGCCCACAAAGCAGGTGTCTTCCTGCTGCTCTGTGTTACTTTCATCTATAGAGAAAAGCGTTAATTTAGCCGTCACGCACAAATCACAGAGCAGGAAGTGAGAAACGTCATTCGTTTGTGTGCTTTAAGGGAGGATTCATTACTTTTGAGGGAGTCTCTGAGCTTTAGCATACAAGAAGCACTGTTAGCACGCGTTTACTTTATCAGGCTCTTTATTTACTTATTTAGCCCAAGTTACTCAGTTAGTTTCACCAACTGGGCTAAAATGCTCCCTGCAGCTCACAATAGAAATGCTAACAGTCAAATGTGACAGGATTATGAATTCACATCTGATTTTACATTCTTCAATTCAAAACAAAATGTCTCACAGTCATTGAAGGTGCAGGCCATTTTATAAAAGACAACTGACCTTCACCAGCAAAGTCTCCACCTCTGTCAAGGGGGATTATGGGAGGTGAAGTCTGGATGCCAGATTTGTACCACAGAAGAAGCACAATCCGAAAAACTGCCCTGTGAAGGAGTCGCATAAATGTCTGTAAGTTCAGGTCACGGTAGTCTAAGGAAAGAAAAGCGACTGGACTCATTAAAGTTTCTAGAAGATTTTTCACTGCTCATCTGAGAAGCTTCTTGAAATGTCTTCACTTTAAGAAGTCCAGTCGCTTTTCTTTCCAGGCTCCTTAGAAGTCACATAAAAAGCATTTATAAACTATTCACAACTTAAGGATTTAAAAAAATAACAATTATAACCTTCAACATCTGGAAACAAAAACCACAAATAAATCTAGAGAAAACTTCAAAGAGCACTTTGAAAAGTGTAGTCTTCCACCGAGTCACTCCCAGCTGGTCACTACAAGGCCAAAAATATGTGGACACGCAATGAATGCTAAGGTTCTTTAAATTTATGATGGCAAATTTAAAAGCAGTCTTTGTGGAGTGTCCTTTGACAGCTACACTGTCGTGTTGAAACAACCACAAAGATGGAGCACCATTTGTCTAACATAGACTATATTTTGTGCCTATGCACTAAAGCAATAGGCACAGAAGGAAAGCTATTGTCCTCTTGTGGAGATTAGGAAATTATTTTACTGTTACTATTCATAACCATTATCATTACTAGGGCTGGGCTATATCATACCGTTCATGGTAATACCGGTGTAATTTTGAGCAACGATAGGAAA